TTATTTACTGAGTTTGATTGGTCAAACTCACCCATTGATATTTTTTGTATAGCGGGTTTCATTCAATCACTTAGAAGATCGTCTCTACAAAAGCACAATTTTCTATTTTAGATTTATTTTTTTGGTATTTTTCAATAATTATATTAGTTATTGCATTTTACTTTTAGGTTTGGATGGTTATTCATTGTTATTTCAATTCCTCTTTTTAGTTATTTGCTTATTTTTCCTTCAGTTGTATTATTTATTGAACTCTTATTAATGAAATGAAATAAGATAAATATTTCCTCACTTGTTTTGATTATTACTTGCTATACAATCTTGTCTTGTGCAAAAACACGTTCAAATCCTTTCATCATGTCCTATGTTGCCGGGGTGTACCGTCTTCTGAAATCGTGGTATGTCATTAATGATCTCAATATAGTTTTGAAAATGACAAAGTACAAGCTGCTAACCAGGAGCAATGGTAGAAGCCTAGATTCCATGACTCATTTAGGGTGATATAACTAGCAACTCAAAAGAAGTGCCTTTATTAATACACTTTATCAAAGTATTGATACCATTTCCACTCAGAAGCATAATAATGCACATTTAGTCAAGGACTGAATCCTTAGCTTTTGAAAAACTATAGAAAAATATAATAAAGCACGTATTTGATTCTCACGTGTACAATGCTATCAAGGTAGATTGAAATGAAAAAAAAATTATGCAATAGAGCATCAAGAGAATGCAGTGAAATTTTCATAATGATCCACATCCCTATAAAAGAAAAACATTTTACGGATGTGAAAATCATAAACATGCAGCTATTAACAAGCAGAAAAACATCATGTAATAAAATCATCAATCAAAATTTAATTGAGCAATTTTATTTCCTAAAAAAATTGTAGTTTTTGGTGTTCTAATGAATAAATACCACAATAATGGCAGAGATTAAAGCTTTGTTCCAGAAATAGCAATCTTCCTCAACTATAGATTACACCAACGTGGCCTTCTGGACTGTTTCTTAAACACTCATAGAACCTAATGTCAGCACCAGTCTACAAAACAGAAGTTACATCATAACAAACTTTCTCAGAAAATAAACAACAAAGGTACATTAAAATTACTAAAAGCCGAGTACTAGTAAATTTCAAAAAGAGCTTCTAAATCTCAAAACTAAACGATAAAAAGGCTTAAAGCGGTATGTTTCACAAAATATCTGCAACAAAATTCTCCACGAAGATATCGCATTAATCACAAAATATTGTTGAGAAAACAAACAAAGAAGAACCGTTCATAACTTACTTAAATGTCGGCGATGAGATCTCAATAATCAGTACAATTGTCACAAACCAGGTAGAACTGTTCATAAAAAGCCACAACAACACCATGATATACTAAGAATAGTTTGGTACACATCAATAATAGTAAAGACTAAATTGCAGATGAAACTGAAAAACAATACATCCTAAAACAGCTTGTGCCAAAACTAAATCAAAAGGCATTCCTTCAGAACAACTGTTGCACCGCAAGCGCGACTCCAATACAGAATCAAAGTCATCCAATTGTAAACCAGACGAGTAAGCACGTTCTCGACATCGAACTAAACAAAACGAGCAAAAATTAGCAAAAGATCGGAAAAAAAAAACCATTTAAAAACCTTAAAAACCAATCAATATTTCAATTAATATCAATTCAACAAAACAGTCAGACAAAAAAACACACAAAAAAGAGAAAAGAATTCACCTAATG